AATGGTGTCCAACCACCCAGCACCAGGGCTCTTGGTTGGGTCACAGATGGCACTTAGTTGAATACTGTGTGACCCAGCCATAGGGGATAGCAAGGAGTTGTTTCTTTTCCTTTCTTCTGTGCCCAGGCCTAGAGACCTTGGTACATGCTACAAAAGTCTGGGGGGCACCAGCTGTGTCCATCACTGATTCAGGCCTGGATGGGGCCAGTGGCTCCTGGCTGATTGTGGCACCCACAGATCCAAAATTGAGGAGGGGGGGCTATGTGCACCAACAATTCAACAAGCATTAAATTTTTAATCAACTTCCTTTATCCAATTTCACTCAATTAAATTTTACAGCTGCTTCATACAAATCCTGTGCATCTTCAGACACCTCTCCTTGGGTGTTTGTATATCTTGTGCTGTTAAAGGTGATGCCATCCCTAGAGAAGCTAGATAGCAGGAAAGACTGAGAGGGACACATGAATTGCCCTGGTAAGGGATATTAGATGAGATCTCCTAGGTAAACTGGGGAGGGGGAGGCAGAAGGAAAGGAATGGGGAATAAGAACATGAGAGAATGGGATGGTCAAGTTGGGGAAGAATGGAGGGGGAGAGCAAGGAAAGAGATCTTGATAGAGGGAGCCATTCTGGGGTTAGGAAGAAACCTGGTGCTAGGGAAACTCCCAGGAATCCATAAGGATGACTCGAGCTGAGACTCCTAGCAATAGTGGAGAGGGGGCCTGAACTCATCATAGAACCTTCATCTAGTACCTGATGCAACCAGATACAGAGATCCATAGCCAAGCACCAAGCTGAGTTTCAGGAATCCAGTCAAAGAGAGGCAGGAAGAATTATATGAGCAAGGAAAGTCAAGATTATGGTGGGAAAATTCACAGAGACCACAAAACTTGTGGGAATTCACGAACTCTAGACCAACAGCTGCGGAGCCTGGATGGGACTGAACTAGGCCCTCTGCATGTGGGAGACAGTTGTGTAGCTTGGTCTATGGATCTATCCCTGGTGCATGAGCTGGCTTTTTGGAGCCCATTTCCTATGGTGGGATGTCTCACTCAGCTTCCATGCAGGGAAGAGGGACTTGGTCCTGCCTTAACTTAATGTGCCAGGTTTCGTTGGGGGGGGGGGGGGGCCGGAGGGGGGGGGGGAAGGAGAACTGTGCCTGGAATGTAAACTGAATAAAAATAGATAAACCAAAAGACGATGCCTCCTTTGATGACACCTTACAATTCCACTTTCTAATCTATTTCTATTACAGAGATACACAATTGGCTTTGTACATGAATTTTGTACCCAGCATTCTTAACTCACATAGCAACTCTGATCATTTTTGCATAGATTTTGTTAAACATTTTACAACAATTATTTAAATCACACATCATGCTATAATACCCCATTTGCTGCATGACACGTTGCTAAGTACTAATAATTGATCTGTGAGTATGGAGTGCGTGCGCACACACAGCAAGTGTTTGCGTAGCAAGTGTTCTTAACTGCTGATCCCTCTTTGCCAACTCCTAATTTGTTTGTGTCTGGAAGTTTGTGTCAAATTTCACGCCATTACCTATTAGCTAGATGTAGTTGGTTTACTTAGGAATGCTCCGTGGTAACAGAAGTAAGGAACTAACAGACAACAGAAGCAAACAGCACAGTTTCTAGGGACAAGCAAGGCACAGTCCGCTAGGCTCTCACACAGTCACATCGCATGCACTTCTGAACTGCACTTCACAGGACTGCCCTGCACACAACGCTTTTCTACCTAAAGGTTTCTGGGACATGAAGCATGGTGTACTCATGGGAGCTTACACTTCCTGCCAGACCACACACTGGCAGCCTGAAGCACACAGGCTAACTCCTTAAGCACGGCGTTTATCCTTGGAGCCTCTTTTCTGAAAAAAAGGAAAACGACAAACAAAAACTTGAACACAGAGATGCCGTAACTGTCATTATTTCTTCCTCAAATGCTTGGTAGAAGTAACCAGGGAAGCTATTTGGCTGTTTTTCTTGTTGGGAGGTTTTATTTACAAAATGAATCCATTTAAGAGACGGAGGAGTATTCTGATATTCTCTTTGTTTTTCCGTTTTATTCTTCTCTGAAACGTTACATCCTGACCGCAGTTTCTCCTCCCTCCTCCCCTCCTATCCGCCCCCCACACACACACACACACCTCATCTCTCCCCGAGATCCACTTCTCCAGTTTCCTTCAGAAGAAGAGCTGGCCTCCCAGGGATATCAACCGAACATGGCTTAACAAGTCACAACAAGACTAGGCACATGCCCTCATATCAAAGCTGGACAAGTTAACCCAGTAAGAGGAAAAGGGTCCCCAAAGCAGGCGAAAGTATTAGACAACCTCTGCTCCCACTTTCAGGTCCCACAAGAACACCAAGCCACACATATTGTTCATTCTGATGTAAGCTTGGAAGTTTTTCATCTACTTTGCCATTTTTCCCATAAGATAACTGGCACTGTCTTTTAACTGCTTTGATTCACATGTAACATTTGAGGTTTTTGTTTGTTTTGTTTTGTTTTTGTTTTTTTGGCACAGTGTTTCTCTGTATATCCCTGGCTGTCCTGGAACTCACTCTGTAGACAGGTTGCCTTAGAACTCAGAGATCTGCCTGCCTCTACCTCCTAACTGCTGGGATCAAAGGCATGGACCATTACATGGCTCCGTGTAATGTCTGTGGTAAAATAAGCATCATAATTACATAACTTACAGCTTACTGAGTTTTCAGAAACTAAATATACTTAATAATGTAAATATATCCTCAATATGTATAAATAGAACATTAATGAGAACATTAATAATAATATTAATAGCACTCTAACTCACAAGTCAGACATGACTATCACTACTATGTCCAATTGGTAATCTTTAGAATTACATACAAATTAGTAATTGTTTTTGTTCAACATTTCTTTTAACACATTGACTTTCTTTCTACCATTATTTTTCGTTGTTCTGAAGTCTATCTTTCAGAATTCCTTCTTGAAGTTATATGGGCAAAAAACAAAGGATTCTGTTATCTAAAAATGTCTGAAATGCATCTTCAAGTTTTATACTTTATAGCTGTCACATTGCTGCCTTTATTACTGCTGGTGTGATATCAGATCCTTTAGTGGATATTTTGGATTTTCCCTTTTTGGATTCTTTGGAAATAATTTTGTTTTTGTGTCCTGAAGACTCACTAAAATGTATATGGAGGACTGTCTCTTAAATTGTTTTACTTGGGATTTGCTAGGCTTCCAGAACTGAGAATGTAGCATTTGTCTGTTTTTTTTTTTTCCCCATTATCTCTGGTACATTCCACTGGATCTCCCAGCTAGTCCCATTTAGAGATAGCAGGAACTCTGGCATCCTTGTCTTGAATCTATTTTGTTGTTGTTGTTGTTGTTGTTGTTTTTATAATTCCTTCCTTGTTTATTTGCTTCGGTCCTTCCTTCTTTTTTCCAATTTCATTTTATTACTGGTGTGTGTGTCTGTGTGTCTGTCTGTGCATGTGTGTCTGTGTGTGTGTGTGTGTTATATGTAATGTTATATGTGTGCCTGCCACCACATGCATGTGGAAGTCAGAGGACAGATTTGGGGAGTCTGCTCTCTCCTTTCGCCATAGGCTCTGGAATTGAACTCTGCTCAGCAGGCTTGCAAACACTTTTACCTGCGAGACCTTCTAGTCAGCCTTCACATTCCTCCTTTTCCTTCTTTTTCTATTTTGTTGTTGTTGTTTGTTTCCTTCAAAGTCTCAGTATGTTGTCAGCTGATTTCAAACTCATGGAACCAAGCGACCCTGCTACAACCTCCTGAGTGACTGCTGTCACGCACTAGGCTCAGTGTCTCTTCAACGTTCTATTGCAGTTCAGTTGCTGACTTTTTGAGTTTTCTCTACAGCTGTGTCTAGCATAACTTTTTAAAGTTCTTTATAATTCAGCTTTTGTATTTTTAAGTACAAGAAGTTTTTTGTGGTTTATGTTCTAAATACTGATAAAATTTAACTCTCTGGTTCCCTCATGTTTTGATATATGCTTAGCTCTTAATCATACAGAAAATACTTATTTTATGTTTTGAATATATTCAATATATGCAGGCTCTGTTATCTGATTTGATAAGTATGGGTGGTTGATCTTTATTCATAGTGGTTTGTTTTCCTATGTATTTAGTGATTTAAAAACTTGCCAGCTCATAATTCTGGAAGCTTAGCTCAGGGAATTCTTTTTGACTAGATCAAAGATGTCTTTCTCAAGAGAGCATCTGTACTTCTTCCTGGCAGCAATCCAAGCTTGCATTAACTGCACTTTTAGATTTGCAATTCTATCTTGGTAGAGCTAATTCAAACTCCAGATATGTATGAGCATAGCTTGCCTTTTGGCCTACAAAATATTCTTTTACTTTACTATCAGATTAACCATAAATTACAAGTCATTTATAACATTGTATTTTAGTTATTTTAGATGACCACATAATACAAGTTTTACAATAAACTTAATCTACAATATCCTGTGTTCTTTTTTAAACTCAGTTATTCAGAATTCAATATTAAGTAAGTCCAACGAGTTAAATTTATAATTTGTTGGAAATACATCTGTCTACCAGGTGTGGTGGTGCACATCTTTGATCCCGTCACTCATGAAGCAGAGGCTGGAAGGTATCTGTGAATTTAAAACCAACCTAGTCTTCATGGCTTCCGTGATAGCCAGGGCTCCATAATGAGACATCCTCGACCGTAAAAACATAAACATAGAACTTTTTCTCCGGAGGATTATAATCGCAATATAATAGAGAGGACCCTAAAGCAACGTGAGACTCGGCCTTGCCCTGAGTTGAGAAAGATGACTCCCGCACCCTTGAACTCACTTCACTCTGGCTTGTAAATTTGGGAAGCCCATAGGCAAGAGCAGAAAATCAGTTTAACGACCGCTGCCCGCTAGATGGCGCAGGAGGGAGCCCAACGCCACGCCTCCGTTTCCTAGGTGACGGAAGAAGCACGCCAGCCGACATCCGGTTCCGAGTTGCCGACGGCTTGCGCGCTCTGCGTATGACGTCACACTTCCATATAAAAGCGTGCGCGCACGAGCGGCTCGTTCCTTCCCACGGCCGCGGGACAATATGGCGCCGGTGAGTGTACGCGCGTGCGGTCCTTTTAGCGTAAACTAGGTAGCTTCTGCGTCCAGCCAACAGGAGTAGGAGAGCTTCAATAGGAAGACCGTGGGCCCCGGGATCTCTACCATGTGATAGAATGCGGGGCTTCGGAAGCTTCCGTGGCTGCCATGCGGCCTGGCGGAGCTGGGCGGGCCTGCCGGTAGTTTACCTAGGCGATGGGTCGCGAGGTCGGTCTCAGGGCCTCCTGATTTTTCCCTGGCTCCTGGTGACCTGTTGCCGCGGTTAGGTTGCCCGTCCGCCGTTGTATATGTTAAAGTCGGAACCTTAGCGATACGAGAAGCGTAGTTTAAACATTTTTGGAAAGAAATTTTAACAAGATGTTTTGAATTGTTAAGTTAGGATTCAAAGGTGAGTAATGCTAACGAGGCCTTAAGCCCACCGAGGTTACCTGTTCGTTCCACGGCCTGGAGTAAATGAGTCCCATCACGATTGGTTCACGTGCTAGTTCCGGGTTAGTGGAGGGAGGGTGGGGAATGTCCTCGGGGCGCCCACTTAAATAACCCGTGGGGGTGTTCCTGACCCTCCCCTGGGGGGGCATGCTGGGATTTAATGTCCAGACCAAACGCAACTCCCAGGCTAGGGGACTGGGATGGATGCCAGGGGCTGGAGTGACGCTCCCAACTTAACATTACAGGGAACAGCTGGCACAGCTACCTCAGGAGGAAGACTTACTGATTGGGAGTCATTTGGGTGGATCTGTTTGGACGAATTGGAGCAAAGCATAGGGAAAACCATTACTCTATGAATGCAGGCTTAAGTTTAGACAGAAGCAGGTGGTAATTTGAAATTGTTAATCACAACACAATACAAAACAGTTCTTTGAAATCAAGCAAATAATCTCCCTATATGTTGTAACATTGCTTTACGTTTGTGAGGCATGTAGTGGCAAAATGGAAAGTTTTCGTTGGAGTTGTTGAAAACGTGATTAAGAATACTTGAAAAATTAATAAGTATTCCCTTTTCGTGCAATACAGACTCCTTTAGGTATTCAGTGGTATTTCTGTGCAGTTTTCTTGGGAATGTGCTGTGTAGGCTGAGTACCTTGCGTTGATGCCTTTATAATTGCGCTTGTAGCAGAAAGACAAGAAGCCTAAGAAGTCGACCTGGAGGTTCCATTTGGACCTCACTCATCCGGTGGAAGATGGAATTTTTGATTCTGGAAACTTCGTAAGTGTCTCTCTTTCTGCAACTTTATATTTGGCGTTTAAATGTCGTACCTGGTATTAACCTGAACTATGCTCCTAGGGTGCCTTCCCTAGTGACTGCCTAGGGTTCCCTTCCCTAGTTGTGCACTTTTTCTCTTTGCAAACAGGAACAGTTTCTCCGGGAGAAGGTTAAAGTCAATGGGAAAACTGGAAATCTTGGAAATGTTGTTCACATTGAACGCTTGAAGAATAAAATCACAGTTGTTTCTGAGAAACAGTTCTCTAAAAGGTTAGTTCTTGTGTTTTAAATTGTAATGGAATGTATAAAATGTAACATTTTGTTAAAATTACCTTGTTAATCCGTTAGGGTGTTTGTGCATTAAAGACAGGGTGAAGAGGCTGTTCTCCCTGCTGGTTTCAAACAAAGAAAAGTGGCATAGTGTAGGTAGAGGGACAGCGGGTTTCATGGGAACGTAAACAGTGCATGGGGTTGAGCAACTGCTCTTGTCCTTATCTCTTAGAAATGAAGGACTGGTGGATTTGGGGAGAAAACTGTGGCAGTGTGTACCTCCATAGTAGAAATTATACATCTTAATGAAGTCAACGGTTTTGTCTCCAAGGTATTTGAAATATCTTACCAAGAAATACCTTAAGAAGAATAATCTCCGTGATTGGCTTCGTGTGGTTGCATCTGACAAGGAGACCTACGAACTTCGCTATTTCCAGATTAGTCAGGATGAAGATGGGTCAGAGTCTGAAGATTAGTTGGCCTTTGTATGCTTTAAAGAAAAACTAAAATTGAACTTGGGCAAATAAAAACCATTGCACTCTTAAAAACAAATGGGTTTGTAAGTGTACTGGGTGTCTAGTAAATGTGCCGTTGAGTGACCCGGTGCTTGTCTGCAGAATGCTCTTATAGAAAGGCTCTGAGTGAATTCTTTGCTGGTTACCTGAAAAGTCTAGCTGGCTGCCACAATTGAGTCTTGACCACCTAACTTCTGATTGTCCTTCTAGGAAGTAGACTTGATGGGCCCTTAATCCTGGTAAAATGGAAGATGAGGCAGAAGGGTCTTAAACAACCTGCGTGGTCTTTCAGTATTGTGGGGCTTTTTCATAGGTAACATTACCAAATGTCTTTGTAGATTTGAATGGCTTTGGCTAGGGGTCAAGTGCTT